TCAGCAGGCTGCAGCCATCCTTTCTCACCCTTGCTTGGATTGGAATTATGCTCCCCTCACCATTGGAATTGGTGTTCTGAAAGAGGTTGGACATGCAGTCTTGTTCCCTCCAGCATGTTGTCTCTCCCTTTCCCTCGGACTCAAGATGATTTCAAGAAAAATCTCAGTCAGTGCTCTTTCTGGTCATATGTTAGTCATCTTAGCTCTTTGTGTGAGCTCTACCTTTTATGGGACCACAATTTCTCTATCTTTATACCAGGCAACAGTTCTGCAGTGGGATTTATCCTGAGTTTTCCAGGAGATTACAGAACTATTCAGACTTTTGGATGACAGATCCTTGAAACTGTGAATACATTAGATAGATAGAAACTGCTTTTTCAAGTTATTTTCAGCTGTAGTTATGACAGTCTTTAGAATGGGAAATTATGCTCAGTGATTTTTTCTTATTGTCAGTTTAACAACTGCCCCAAGTACATTCCTGAGATGAGTTTGAAATTTCGTGATGGTGAGCCTATTGTTTACCTAAGTTGTGTCCCAATCTTGTTGTAGTAAAGGCAATGTCGCGCTCTCCTTAGATCTCTGAAATCTTACATAACTCGTACTCAGTTTTGGAAAAGTTTACAGTTTATCTGTTTCGAAGATTGTAACAAGAAGGCCACTAAGACCACAGTGTCTAGGTGAATTAAACATTGTATCCCATTAGCCTTCAACTATGTCAGAAGGCTATATTCAGTATTGTTAAATGCTATTCTCTAAGAGGCATGGCAATCTTGTGAGCTTTCAGTGCAGAAGCATCTGCTTCTGAAAATTGAGATGCCCTCCTAGTCATCTCCTCAACTCCTCATTACCAGTTAAATCTGTCTTTGCGGCTGATATCTATTAGGTGCTTCAAGTGCCTTTGGAAGGTAAGCCCACCTTTCTGGTTTACTGTTCGCAACATTGGTTGTTTTCAATTGCTGCTGTCCAGCAGTATGGGAGAAGAAGGACATATAAGAGAAAATTATTTGTCAGTAATTCTATTTGTCATAGTCTTTTCTTCTCCCACCTCTCCTCGAAGAGCATCACTTGGAGTTTTGTCTCTGATCTTATCTATTACTCTGCACTGGAAGTCTCACTGTAAAAGAAGAGAATAGGTTGGTGCTTGTATACCTGCCTTGATAGACAGATCTTTTGTCTCCTTTCTTGGGTAGGCAAAGTCATAAAGCTGTCTGTGATTGTTGTTGCTGGGTAGTTTGGTAGAAAAGGGGACTATGGCAGACAAAGTTATTGGTGACTTCCTGTGCTCCATTGACTACATCCTCTAATTTTGTAATTCTGTTTTTTTTTTTTAAAAATCAGATTACATTCAGTTAAGAAAATTAACACAACACCGATTCACCAAAGAGATTTTTTTCATGCTGTAATCAAGGACGTTGTAAATAGATTGGATATGAGTTATTTGATAGAATATTAAAAGCGAATAGAGAGAGCTCACAAATAGTGAATTTGTGAAATTCCATTTTACGGGGTGGGGGTGGTGGAGAGGAGGAATCAAATCCCCAGGTATTTAATTTGTGATTCTAGGACTTTTTATAAACAAGAAGTCAGCCATTTATATAGTAAAAGTGTTGTGACTATAGACAACAGTTTTCTCAAATCATTTAAAAGAAATTTTGACTCAAGCTAAAGCATTGTTTGTTTGTTTTTGTTTAGTTTTTGTTTACTTTAAAACTAATTATTTGTAAGGTATTTATATTTTGATTAACATTAAGCATTGTACTTAACAGTCACAGTTTTAAAGGGATTCTGTTGTATTGGTGATACTCAAACAGCTGTTTCTAGAGCTAGGTTTCACAAGAACGCAGAACTGGACAGAAAGTGTCTATGCAATGCCAGCACTGGAATTTTATTTTTTCCCCCATTAATTGGTATTTGGTTGGCCCCAGTATCGGATATTGTAATGTCACATTATGTCCCAAGTCTCCTACTTACCCTATATCGGGGTGGGCAAACTTTTTGGCCTGAGGGCCACATCCGGGTTCCGAAACTGTATGAAGAGCCAGGTAGGGAAGGTTGTGCCTCCCCAAACAGCCTGGCCCCCGCCCCCTATCCGCCCCCTCCCACTTCCTGCCCCCTGACTGCCCCCCTCAGAATCCCTGACCCATCCAACCCCTCCTACTCCTTGTTCCCTGACCCCAACGCCCCTTGCTCCATGTCCCCTGCCCTGCCCCCATCCAACGCCCCCCGCCCACTGACAGGCCCCCTCGGACTCCCATGCCTATCCAACCCCCCTGTTCCCATCCCCTGACCCCCCCGACCTCCACCCCAACTTCCCCCTGCTTCCTGTCTCCTGACTGCCCCCCAGACCTCCCTGCCTCATATCCAACCCCACCGCCCCCTTACCATGCCACTCAGAGCACCAGGACTGGCAGCTGCACCACCTGGCCGGAGCCAGCCACGCTGCTGCACAGTCTAGAGCACCAGGGCAGGCTGGTGGCTCTTGAAGCTGCCCTTTCTGGCAGGAGCTCACAGCCCTATCACCCAGAACGCTGGCGGCACACCGAACTGAGGCTGCGAGGGAGAGGGGACAGCAAGGGAGGGACTGGGGGCTAACCTCCCTTGCCGGGAGCTCAAGGGCCGGGCAGGACGGTCCCGAGGGCTGGATGTGGCCCATGGGTTTACCCACCTCTGCCCTATATGTTTCTGCCCAAAGAAGGTGGTTTTTGTAACTGTAGTGAGGCTGAGCTTTGTGGGCATGCGGTGCTCCCAGATCATTCCATTTCAATTCAGCCAACAGCAAGAAAACTTGTTGTGGGTTCTGTTTTTATTGAATGCATATTTCTTGCCAAGAAGTGTAGCCTAGGTGGGAAAAAGACATTAAAGAAGCCCTACATACAGCATTCCTGGAGAACCTGTCTCTGACACAGCTCAACCAGAATTGGAGGAGTGCAGAGGCCACCTTTTCACCACCCTATCCTGAGCTGACAGTGTGCTCTGCAGCCATGGCAAGGATATAAGACAGTATTTCCTAATGCTTTGGGTCCCTAGGCCACTGCTTCAGTACTGATTCAAAGGGAAGCATGAAGCTTGAAATACATATCTTTGTAGGGCTTACATCCAGACATTATCTCTCTGCCTAGCCTGTGTAATCTGACTTGGTCTTGTATTCCCCTTTAAAATGAATGAAATTCATTCTTTTATTAATATTCTTCATTCTATTTATGGACACAAACATAGGCTTAGAAAACACAAGTGTGTAAATAAGGTCAAAATACCTAATTAAGACAATCGTGTATTTTTAGGTTTTACAGACTATAGATGAGGTAATTAGGCATATTGATTTTTTTTTTTAACAAGCATTGCAGTCTGGATTGTTAATTAGCACATGCTTCAGTGAAGCAAAAATAAAGTTGTCAATCAATTGTGCATAATGCTGTCTGATATAATGTTTACAAAAGCAAATCCATTGATTTAATACTTAAAATTGTTCAGAATTTGTTTTGATAAATATAGATGTATCGGTGTGTGTGTGTCTATATTTTGCACCATTTTTGTTTAACTTTTTTAGTCAGATCAGCTAGAGTGGTGTCTACTTCTATACAAGTGGTATAACTTTGTTGTACAGGACATGAATACGCTGAAGTTCATCTTACTCTTGAATAAATACATTTAATGTTTTGAGGTTAAAAAATAAAACTGGCCAAAGGGAACAACTGAGTGCTAAACAAATTCCAGTCTCTTTAAATTATAAAACAACCATTATCTAAATGTGTGTGTTTAAGAGGATGATAGAGGTACCTTTTAAATATAATACTCAAAAAAGGGCCACATTCATTCATCCTTCAAAAACCTGTCAGGTAGGCTTTGTTTAGGACACTGAACTGGGTTTGGGAGAGAAGAAATTCACAGCTACCTCCAACTAATAGGTAAGTGACGAGGACTGCATCACAGCCCTTCCATGGCTACTGTTCCAGTCTATAGGCTAAAACCGTGACTGCTACCACTCTGCACCTCCTATGTGTGGTGTTAGGATGACTGCATTCCTGCAGGTAAAGATAGTGGTTCTCCCCTCACCTTCCCGGTGAAGTGGCCTGTCTCTGGGGCCAGCACAGAACCTCTTTCTGCTGCGTGAAGGGGTTGCAGAGTCCACCATGCAGCCTTTTGGGTCCTATTCACCATGCGTAAACTTTACCCAGTGGAAATTGTACTTAAATTTGTATTTCAGTAGTCATGTCCCACAGTAGTAACTGCTCTATCAGGAAAAGTGAAACCAACAGGTTCAGTATCTCAGTAATCAAAAAAAATGAAAAATTAAATTGTTATATAGGAGTAAGTAAATAAAGGCAGGAGGGGAAGTCACACTAAGGGGCTTGGCGCATGCAAAGTAAGGTTGAGTTCTACCATACATTAGGAAAAAAACTTATGAATATGGCTAAGTATTGCGTTTTAAAAAAAACTGTGCATTTAGTAATGTGAGGAACAGCTGAATTTACATAGTACAGCATCCAAGATTTGTCCTTTCATTTAATTTTTGTATAACTAACCTTTGGCTCTGCCGTTGTTGTTATTCATATACTGCAATTCTTATAAATTAATGGTGGACCCATCCAAGATGTAAATTATGTATTACATAATTGTTTTTGGAATTCTACCATTTTTTTTCTCATGGAAAATATGTAACTTGTGCAAAGTTGTCCAATTGTCTTAAAAATGCTCAAACGTTTAAACTCTTCGGAGTTCCCTTTGTTCTTTGAGGGGGAAATTAATGAATTTTTACTTTCCTTCTGCCTATCCAAGAAAGCTCTTATTTTTGCATTCTGTTTAAAAAAATGAATGTACACTTAGAGAATCTTGTCTTTTTGGTGATATGTACATTAACTGATGGTAGCCTGATTTAAGTGAATACCAAAACTCCCACTAACTTAAGTGGAAACTGAATCAGGCCGTAAAAGGATTAATTTTCTTTATTGTCAGCCTGGCTTTTTTTTGTGTGTGTTTTTTTTTTTTTTTTTTTTTTAAAGGGAAGGCTTTAGATTTTCATCTCAAGAAGCTGCTTCAAGTTTTGGTGATGATCGACTATTGATAGAAAAGTTTATTGATAATCCTCGCCACATAGAAATCCAGGTTTGTACTTTTTCCATTTGAAATAAAATTTGAAATGATCAAACCCTTGAGATGATCAAACATACACTATAATGGTAAGCATGGTCAGATTTATTATGGCTTTGAAGACATTAATGTGGATATCAAACTGTAGTTGGTTACTCAGAGATAGTGACTTGGATTCAGCTGTCCTCTCAAGCTTTTTTCAGAGTAGATTCTGGAGGTGGAAAGTCTTGCCACCTCTTTTCTCCCACTGCATCATCCCTTCTGCTAGAGAGTCCAGATGTGTCCATCACAACCCAAAAAGTGGGTGGTGCAGGCTAATGAGGAAGGTTGTGACTATGATGGCTATATGACGTGCAGATCTAGCATATCCCTTAAGCTGCTTCCTGCAGCAGGGTTCCTACAAAGTATCCATCACAACTTAAAACTTCCCTGATCTGGCAGAAACCCTGAGTGAGGCTATTTGATGCAGTTCTACTTGTTCTAATTCATGGGGGCGGGCTTTGCTATATTTTACCCCTCTTTCCATTAGCATGGATTAATCTAGCCCAGTGTCATCACTCATATACTTCAGATAACAAAATAACATTTTCGCTCCTACTCCCCTCTGTATTGCAGGAAAATGGGAGAAATGGTATCCGTACATCTGTCTGAACCTCAAAGATCTACCTGCCCCCAAATTTTCTCCTTGTTTTTCACCTCCACTTCCCCACTATCGAAGCATTCTTCAACCTAAGGTGGTCTAGAGCCAACTTCTTCCAGAGTACATTTTACATTTTCTTATTTGTCCAGAGAGGATTGCTTAATTCCTTCAGATACATTGGACATAACACAGGAAAATCAAATGAAGGTCATCAATGGGTTTGGATGATGCATATCATTTGAACTACATGCTTGTAGTTGCTGTGAAGTCAGTTGAACCACTTAAGGTGTGTGTAGTGTAGCCTTGTGGTTCACAATATACGGCTGCTTTTTACTTGGATAGCTTAGTTACAAAAGAAGATTAATTTTGATCTTGGGCCAGACCCCCAGTTGGTATAATTTGACATAGCTCCACTGAAGCAAATGGAACTGCTCCAAACACCCTTTGTGTTGCAAGCAGCTCTTTTCAGGCTTGAAGATAAATTTTGTTCATGCCAGAGACATTAGTCGTCTTACAAGAATTCACCAAATCTGAAAATTTAAAACAAGCTTCTGTTTTGAAAATAAATAAATTTACAGATGTCTTAATTAATGGAAAAAAATCTCTTCTAATGCTCGTGCATTAGAAGAATAATGTAGCAAAAATATTACAGAATTTTCCAAGACAATTTCCTTTGGACTTTTAGCCAAGAACAAGAAATTTGCAGCCCAAAATACTTCTTTCAAATAAGAGATAAATGATTAAAAATAGAGTTTGAGCAGAAGTGCCATCTCAGCTACATCATCACTATTCAAAATTGTGCTTAAATTTTAATATTATGGACATTAAATACTTTTTGAATCTTTGCCTTTAGTGGGCGTACAATATACGGTGCTTGATTCATATTATGTAACCAATATCTGAGTCATATTTACATTGAATTCAAAGTAAAAAATTATACCATTATTTTGCACACAATTTGGGGAACTTTTAAATAATTTATTTAAAATCTTTTTTTAGAAAAATGACCTTTAGGTTTTCTAGAGGGAATTTCTTTACATTTTAACGCGTTCTTCAATATTTGTTTCAATAAAAGACAAGTATAGTGGTTGTTCTAACAACGTTGGTTTGTATTGCATCCTATTTCATATGGAAGCAGAAACGTATCCATATAAAACTATGCCCTAAAACTTTCCCTCAGATCTTACAAGGGGGGAAAAGTATTTATTATATCATGCTTATGTTTGGATTTAGTCATAAAATGTGCCTCAAGCTAAATAATTATGTGGATTTATTATTTCAAAATGCAAAATACTGGGCATAGAATACATTATTTAAACAGTCAAGTCAGAGTTTTGCATACAACTCTAACAAACCTGAAAGGGATTCTGAGGTTTCTTAAGACTCTAGGTAAAGTGATGTGAATAAAGATTTTTAAATGTATTTATAACTAATTACAAATCAACTCCTACTTCTTAATGTGAGTTTTTTGCCTGTCAGAATTTTGAAAAAACAAAGTTCTGAAGCCCAAGCAAGTGCTCTTAGAGTGAACAATTTACTTGACATCTTTCTTTTGTGTGTGTGTGTGCATCAATGGGTATCATATAAATTAAAACCAGATCTATTGATACCAAACAGGACTATATTCAGGCATACAAACTTTGGTAAAAAGTTTTGCCTGTTTAATATTTTGAATGTATTCTTTTCCATCTTATCTATGGAACTTAATTGTGGATGCAACCCTGAATGAATCTCTTCTGACAAGAAATCTATAATGTATGTGTCGGTTTCCTTAACGGAAGTTTCATTTGTTTTTCCAGTCCAAAATACAAATTCCTTATAATTTGTCATATGATTTTTTTCACTGAGACCTTGAGATACTTTGACAGCAGTTCAATAATTTAATATAAAAAATCCTGCTGATTGTGTGGACTGGTAAGTAAGAGAAAAAAACCAATTAACCCCTTTAACACTGCTAAATATGTCCACTCTTTTACCCAACATGCTTAGTATGACCTGATTTTTGTTTTTTTGCTTAAAATTTGCCTAAACGCAGACTTGATATCGCATCAGAAAAATGAGCAAATATTGAATCTACTAAGGATGAAGGTTAAGCCCAAAACTATATTCTGGCTTTTGAGTGACCAGGGACTGGTGCAATCTGAGCCAGTAAGTTTCACAGAACACATTAGAGTTCAAACAAATAGTGCTTTTGGCCCAAATTTTCAACAGTGACTATTGGTTTTTGGGTCCCTCAGTTTTTTTGGGGGCTCCACTTTAAATATCTTAAAAGGGCCTGATTTTTCATAAGGTGTTGAACATCCAGCATCTGAAAATCTGGGCCTTTTGATAGGACTCAAATTTGACACCCGAAACTACTATTCACTTTTGAAACGGTAGACTACTATTCTTCCTTTGTGACACCAAATACCATCTCTTTGGTCTCTGGAAAGATACCAACATTAAAAAATGTTAGCTATTAAATATGTTTTATAAACATAAAAGATCAATATTAAATAGTATCAAAGAGACTCCTCACATGTTTAAAATTAAGCACGTGCATGTGTGGTTGTAGGCTTGGGGTCTTAAAGTAATCTGTTCCTCAACACGGGTAATGTTGGCAGTCAAATTATTTTTTATAAAAATTTTAAAAAATGATAAATCTTCTCCCTATTTCTCTTCCACCTCATCAAACAAGTAAGCAAAACCACCCAACTGAGTCAGTGGCAAAATTTCCTTCCATTTCAGTTGATACAGAGTTGGATCAAAAGTACTATAAAATACACAGTGAGACTAGCACCTGAAGTGGGGATGGTAGACTATTTCTGAAGTCTAAAAATGGATTCAGAAATTAAGTTGATTTTTAAGACCCCCAATTCAGGAAAACTCTGAAAGTGAATGGGATTTAATATATGCTTAAAGTTAAATGTGCACTCAAATGCTTTCTTATATTGGTACTTAATTTTGCAGTCCACCTTTATTCACTTCTTATTAAATAGTCCTGCCTGCCTGATGTTTTTTGCTTTACCTTTCAAAAATGTTCGAATATTTCACATTTTAGAACAATGCGATACTATAAATTAAATAACATCGAATATCAAACAAGATACCATTGATTTTTATAATTTATAAATTTGAAATAAGAATAATGGATCATATTATCCTTGTAATGCATTATAATACACCTTTGCAACAATCCAGTATATCATTTTAGCTATATATCCTAATCAAGTTTAGGAGATTGACCTTGATTCATTCAGACTGCTAAACATACAAATACTTTGAGAACAGATGCCAAATATTTATTAATTTAGCAGTAGCTTTTAAACGAGATTATTTAACATTCTTGCTCAGCTCCAAAACTCTGCGAACTTAAAAATGTAAGGGTTTCCTGTGCTGAGGAATAAAACAAACACTTGTAAAAAATAAGAAAAGGCTGAAACAATTAACAGGAAAAAAGAGTCCAAATAGACTTCATGGCTTGAACTGATTTTTGTAATCTTGTTCTCCCTGAATATCTGACATGAAGGATCTCAGTCTAAAGTAAAAGTAAACTGAATGTCTAATTGCAAGGTATTTGGTTAAATACAAATGCTGCAACTGGAAATGGCATTTGGCTGAATTCAAATAGGAGAGAGTGCAATAAATGTTGTTTTATTATTTAGTGTAATGAAGTGTCAGTAATAAATACCACTAATTAGTTAATCTTGCAACTTCACAAAACTGACCATTTTCTTTAGTAATTTTTTTAATATCTTGCTTTTAGCACCACTAATTCGGAAAAAATACTGTAGATGAAACATCTATTTTTAATTAGAGGTAGATGGGAATTTCAGTTCACCCCAGTAGTAATTCCCACTTTCTGTAAATGCATTTTGGCAATGAAACCTCTTCTGAAAATAATTATCATATATAATAATTATTTTATTAAACAATTATTTTTGTTTTGTTTCTAAAAATTATATGGATAATGTTCTCTAGATAAATACCCAACTCTGGATATTCCTTTGCTTACACCATTTAGCTAGATAGTTAAAAGCAAGGTCTTAAGCCTATGTGTTAAGTACTCATATCTGCTTCTTATAAGCCAAATTTGTTGATCGTGGCAAAATAATAGTTTTAAGAAGCAGATTCCAAACATGAGTAATGATACAAGCAGTTTCCCTAGAGACTATAGGTATCTCAGAACTGGGGAAAGGAGTGGGAGGAGTGAAGTGGGTTTCCTAACTGAGAAGGAGATAAGGGAGAACTGATCAAATAATCCCCTACCCTCACCCCCTGAAAATGTTTGTGTAAATAGGGGGAAATAAATTTGTCAGATTTCCATTGAAAATTTCTACTTTTTGTCAAAGCTGTTTTTGAATTAAAACTTGAATTTTTCTGTGGAAAGCAGACACTTTTTTCATGAAAAGCTTTGTTTAGTTACTCTCATTCCACCCCCAATTTTCTATTGAAAAACTGTTTAAATGGAAAAGCCCTAAGAGGGCCTGAAATGGAGCTAGTCATAGAAAAGCAGGGCAATGAACTAGCCATTGTTGTTCCAGAAAAGCAATTCTACACAAGTGAGCATGCCCTGTCATTTGGGTTTTATTATTTAAAATAATATTTATAGTATAAGTCTCTCCTTCTCTAAAGACACTTGTCTACTGGGACTCCATGGAGTTCAGTTTCTGCAGTCATGGACTGGATGGACCAAGACTGGAATAAGAAGATAGGCTATGCTCTGTTGGATTCTCCGTTCTTCTCGTCTAGCACAAGTTAATACACCCTGAAGCAATGCTGTGTTGCTCTGTTTCCTGAAGTGCGCTTCAAAACCTTCCTTTGGGGAGATTCAAGGACCAGCTGTACTCAAGAAACTCTTATGAACTAGCAATGCATTATAATACACCTTTACAACAATGCTCTAGCGGCATTTGGGTTCTCCATTGGGAAGCAGTGGGATCAAGCACCAGCACAAAAGCAAAAAGCACCTCTATGGATTTCTCCTGGGGATCCCGCAAATTCCACAGGTTAAGTGGGGACAAATTATGCTCCATCCTCACCTCTGTCCCCTAAGGATTCCTATGAAAATGTTGAGTTTGATGCTGAAAGTAGCTGATCTGGCCCTGATCCAGCAAAGCATTTCAACATAACTTTAAACACATAAGTAGTCCCACTGAAATCAAAACTCAGGCTTTTGTCTCATTTGCCTGGGTTATTTCCACATTAGTTAACAATTTTGTTGTTGATGCATGAGCTGTAATGGAATCTAGCTTGCGCTCTCATAGGTCTATTTACTCTGTGGTGCTAAAAGGAACAATAAGTTGTTAAAACTTTTTTTTGCTAAAGTAAGCAGATAGGGATGAGTTCATACAGGTTTTTGAGTAGGATGGTACTATTTTTGTCTAGTCAATTTTGAGTTCGGAACTGCACTTTTAAAGGATGGGGCATGAGGACTGGCACAGATAATTGTAAATCAGAGAAGGAAGACTAGTGGAAAAAGGTTTATAGGCGAGAAAAGTATACTTAGTACATGAAAAGGGGGGAATTGCTCCAAGAATAGGGAGCAGCATGAAATAAGTTATGAAGTTGGGAAAAGCCATAGGAAGCATTAAGGAGTGAGGATGGCCTGAGCATAAATGAGAGGATTGGGCTCAGACTAGGACTGCCTATATTTTCCTTTTTTCTGACAGTTTGCAAAGCTCATGATCAATTGACAGTCCTATCATGTTGGCCTGCATGCTTCTCCAGTGTGGATGTGTGAAATGGGACTCACTCTTCATCCTGTGTCTTGCTCTTCAATGTACTAAGGTTGCAGGGACTGCAGTAGCTTCAACTGCTTGGGAAGGCTCCTTGAAACAACCAGTTAAATTTTTATCTGAATTGTTGGAGAAATCTGGGTGTTACATTGCATTCTTTTCCCCTCGCTTTTGCCCAGAGACCACAATGTTTCTGAACACTTGTCTCCTATTCGAGAGGCACTGTATTGTGATTAATCCATTGAGTAGGCTCCATTAATAACTGTTTCTGAAAGCTTTTTATCCATAGATCAATAGCAAAATTTGACATCCTTTGAGATTTTACTCCCTTTTGATGATGTAGGTTCGTGTTAACAATATACTTATGTTTGTAATACTATTTTAGGAGCTTACAATATAATTTTGTCTCCGTCCATTGATTTTCAGCTTCTTTTATTTAACTAACTTCATTTTTGTATTTCTCACAATACCTGAAATGATTGGAGCTTCACCCCCCCTATTCCTTCATAAATACAATTTTAAAAAAATAAGTGTGGAAATTTTAGAAAAAAGCTAGTTACTGTGTTCAATGTTTGAAATAACATTCTCCCCATATTTATAATACAGCTAATTTTCTAGAAAGGAAATGTTCATTTCTGTTTTCAGCATGCGCTTTGCTAGAGTGCTTCTTTTTTATGTTTAATTTGGTGAAACATTTACATCTGAACTCTATGTAATGAAATCTGTGGTACACAGATGACAGCACAGGCATCTGATAGTGGCATATAAAAAGGCCAAATATATTCACTTGTTTGTTAATAGCATCATATTCTACTAGGTTTTGGCAGATAAGCATGACAATGCTTTGTGGCTGAATGAAAGAGAGTGCTCCATTCAAAGAAGAAATCAAAAGGTTGTGGAAGAGGCACCAAGGTGAGTATAAACTTCTTTCCTTGTACGTTTTTATGAGCATTGATTATGCTTTGGAAAGCTGCTACTTTTACATATTGTACAAATTTGAACAATTTTTATTCCATTAAAAAACACCATAAAGACCAGTAGTAGTGTTTAAGTAACCAATGTAATTCTGATGCAGAATTTAGCATTGCAATATTCTGATCTAGCTTCACAATGTTCACTCTATGTCAAGTTATTGCAGTTTTTATTCATAATCTTGTATAAAATAGAGTACTGATCAAGTATTTTAGACATACACACAGAAATTTTCTCATTTTGTGATAGCCTCCTACCAGTGAGTACAGAAGCAAAATGAAGTCTCAAACTCACTGTTCCTGAAGACGTTCATTTGCTACATTAATTGATAGAATAGCAGAATCTGGCTCTGTTTCTCAAGTGTTGAGTAGTACCTTACTCCATAGCAAGTCCCAATCAAATTAATGACCTGTCGTAATTAGGAGTCCAGTACCTCCACCTGCTCAATGTTTTTAACTCCATTGATTTCAGTAAGAGTTGAGGCACATTAGCTCTTCACAGGATTGGGTCTTAAAAGCTGTCTAATACATCGTCTTATAACATACTGCAAAGGTGTTCACCAGAAAGAACATACGGGGGAAAAAAAAGAAAGTGGGAAAACCTGGATTGCTCAAAATCAGGAGGATGCCCCAAACTGCATTTAATTATCTATTATTAAATGCAACCACGTTTAGGTCTGAACTTGCAGTTGTTCAGTAGTGCAGAACAGCACTGTAGAACAATTTAGGGTGTGATGACCACATCCAATGGGCATTTAGGATCATTTTAAGTTACTTGAGTTAAAATTTGTTTATGGCCATAGAGCCAACTCTCCCCATCACTTACAAATAGCATTTAGGACCTTGAGTTTGTATCTGATCTGACAGACAGTAATTTTAAGTGCAGGATATCCCATAACACAATACATTGGTTAAGCGCAGACTCAGAGGAAAAAGTGCTACCTTGATTAATCATGGTCACTTCTTGCAACACCTGTGTGTTCCTCAGAGGCCTCCCATTCAAGAACCTGACTTTTTCAGTCATGAGATTTGATTGCTTAAGATCACAAGATAGCGCAGCTGCTGAGGACAGAATGGTAATCGATGGAGTTCTAGTCTACGACTAGGACTACTCGGTGCTATGGTAATACAAATAACAATAACAATAATTTTGAAACATGGAGACTGCCATAGTGTGTTACAAACTGAACCTGAAATTTAAAAAATGATTATAGTATAACTTCCAAAGTCCATGGTATCATCAATGAAGGGAATTCTCATTGACAGTTTAGCGTAGCTGTGGCATAAAATTATGTTTCAGATGTAACAATGCTCCTCAGTTCTCAAAAGTAATCTGCTTTATATCTGAATGAAGGGAGCAGGAATATTTTGGAAAATATTTTGTATTAAAGTTGCACTGATGAACAGAGATGCTATTGGGATGGGGAGTAACATTTTGCCCATGTGTCCATCCCTGAGGCTGTAGAAACAATAAAACAAGTCAATTGTATTGTCTTTAATTGGCTGCACGATAGCTTGAAGCAGGTCTCATAACTGAAATGTCACATCTGATCATATTTTCTCTTCTTGATGCTTTTATCTTGTGAAGTCTTTTTATTCTGCAGCCTTCATGCTGCCAGAGGAACTATTTAGTTAACAGTAACAGGTATATGAGGTGGAGAAGGAGTGGAAGTCATGTTTAAAATGTTTCATTTTTAAGTCGTGTGTGTGATTAGTTTGAAGAAAGGGCTGTTTAGGGTGTATTGAGAGGAGGGGGTGAATTGTTTAAAAGGGAGAGAAACAATGTATGTAAAAAGTAAAGGCACTGAAGGGAATAGAAAACCTCAGTTAATTAACCTAGCTGATTGCAGAGATAATCCAGTCATTTTAGTGTATAAAGCTTAACCACATGGCATAGATCAAGTTTAGCAGTGTGACACTTCTGTTCCATTCTTCTGCGGCAGCAGGAGGCAAGAAGAGAGATCTCAGACATACATTTAGCAAATACAGGAAGATATTACTGTAGTACAGGGAAGTAACTGTCCTTTTATCCATATGAGAAATATTAATGGTTGTTCTTGAAAAGGAATACCAAGGCTATAATTCCAAATTGGAAATGTACTGCCCTTCATAAACCATTCAAACTGTGCTCTGTGATTGATGACATCAACAGAAGACCCTTTATTGAATTATAGCTTTTTATTTAACTTGTTGCTATGCATTATTCTGTTACTGAAACAGAATAATAGACCCTCATCTCTTTGTATTACCAGTGCATAACCATGCCTTGGTAAGATGCGTTCATTGCTTCCCTCATCCCTTTGTTTCTTGTGATCTTAGAGCAAAGACTGATACCTTTTCTGAAATCAGACATTTTGTTTTCAGATTCTTTTGTTATATGTAGCCAGTAAAGAGGGTCTTTTTCCCTAAATCTAGAGAGCTTCTTTTAACATGCCAAAAGTCTCTGGTTTATTGTCCATAAGAATCCAGATATATTACCACTCTAGGAAGGACTGAGGCCAAAGTAGTATTTTACCTATAAAGGAGTGGTCTCCCCATTGTCTCTGGTTAGTCCAAAATCGTACCTCGCTTTTCTTTTGCTTGAGTATAACTCATTTTCTTGCATCTTCTAAACATTTTTCTTTCAGTTAAAAGTCTTAGGAAATACTGTAAACTAAGGCCCTGATCCAGCTTTTGACTCTGTCTAGCTAGTTCTCTGTGGTCATGTGGCGCCCCACTGACTTTAGTGGGGCTCCAAGCAACTACAGGGGTCCTCCTGTGTGGTACTCTTTGCAGGGGTGGGGCCTAATTCAGGAAGACAAGCCACAGATGCACAAAAGTCACTGTTGGAGTTGGCTGACTAATTCCCCCTCTAGGCACCATGCACTTTTTTTTAATCCAACTGTCTATAAGCAAAGATCTTAGAAACAACTTAAACCAAAAACATTCTTAAAAGTGGCCAGGTGTGGGCTAAAACTGATTCTCTATTATCTTTTTATATTTTATTTTCTTGATTGTAGTTCTGACATGTTCCTAAAATAAACGGCAACAAGGATGTAATAAATATTTTTGCTTACTGCTGTTTTGTTTCTAGTAAGGGACAAATCTGATCTTTTATTTAAGATCATGTACAAGGTTCAGCATCTCCTACAGAAAACCTTTCGATTGCTTTGGTAAAAGCCGCAAGAGTTTCTCTAGCTGGATAGGTTAATCTAAATCTGAACTTGTTGTGTAGTGGAGAGGAATCATCAGAATATATGTGTTCTTGAGTTTGTAAATTCAGTGGCCTATTGGAGGTGACGTATTTAGTTTCCTGGGGTGAGGAAGCTTGACTGTTGGGGAGCAGTCTCAGCAATGGCTCGTGAGGGAGTAGCTGAGCTGCACTTCGGGGCAGAAGAACAATGCTGAATGGTGGCCATGCTGTGTTGAAGGGAATGAATCAAAATCAGAAAGCCACACAACTAAAACTTGCAGTTTAAGGGTAAAGTTGAGAGAGAAGATTTAGGATCTGAAGGTGGAAGCTGCAAACTGTCATTGGTTATCAGATTCAATATTGTGCATGTCCTAGTTTTCTTTCATCACAACCTTGCCTGCATACAAGAAAGTCAAATTAAAACAAAAACGAAACACAGTACAGATTCTCATTCAGACTTTACGAACTTCCAAAGTTTATCATAACTTGGATTACAGAGCACATAGCTATGAAACATCCAGATAATTATATTTCAAACAGATGCGGAAAACCACAACCATAGGGTTTGCTCTTGTTTGTCTAGGCAGTAATATTTCCATAGTGTAGCTATTGTCTGCAGGCTTCATTATTGTCCAGAATTTTCTTTAATGTTGATTTTTAATAATTAGATGTGCTCTCCAAATAACTGATGACTTTTTAGGTTATATTGTTTTTCAAGATCTCAGTGTTGTACAATGTGTATATTGATTTAATTTATATCTTGAAAGCATTTTCCTGTAATTTGTCTTGAAGGTACTCTCAGTACTGAAATGCATTAATACTGGTTACCAAGAGTGCTGAATGCTGCATTTAATCTTTATTTTTTAAAGCAATTTAGAATGAAATAATCTGTTCGTTCTAAAGTTGTGCTAATCTTCTGAGCATGGATGGAAGTACAGGAATTAATAGTATGTTTCCAATTTTAAGGAAAATTAATTTGGAGTAATATAGGGTGTGAATTTAAAGCACAATATTAGCTCCCTGTATGGTTAAAACTAATTCAGAATAAGGCACTCTTATTCCAGAATAAGAGTGTCTACACAGGGAGTTAATCAGGAAAAGCTCTTCCAGAATAACTCCTGGTGTAAATAAGCCCTTAACTTGTTTATTCAACAGTAGAGAGATAATATAGTGCATTTGACTGACCAGAAGTGGTGTCCTATTTAATTTACATGGGTTTTTTTTTTTGCCCTCTTTTGTATGTAGCTTAAGAAAAGGATACAATTCTGTTTTTCTAACTAAAGAAAGGCACTTTTTCTGAATTTGTAGCACTTTTCTGGACCCTGAGACACGAAGAGCAATGGGAGAACAAGCAGTAGCTCTTGCCAAAGCTGTAAAATATTCCTCTGCTGGAACTGTAGAATTCCTTGTGGACACCAGGAAGAATTTCTACTTTTTGGAAATGAACACTAGACTTCAGGTAAGAAAAACAACTGTTCAGATTCAGAGACAGGATTATTTAAAATAAAATTTTATATATAAATAAATAAATCCCTCCAAACATAGAGCCTGATCCTGTAAAGATCTACATATATGAGTAACTTTACACTGATGTTAATAGGTCTACTCGCATGAGTAAGCTAATGTGCCCAAATCTTTGCAGGAATGGGGCCCTTGCAGAGCACATAGAAATGAGCATTCAGTGCGTTGCTCTTTGTTACACTTGACCTAAAGACCTTGCAAGAGGTCACAGTTAAGTGCTACTGTGAGTTCACAGTAAGTGGCTAGCCACTGTGTTTTGATACTTTTCCCTCTTGGTAACAGAAATTTCCATGTATTTTTCATGCTTTGGTGAAAGTTTGTTGAGTTTTACCAGCAAGGTGATTAAACTACACAATGATGTCAGAAATAAAAATATTGACACATTGAATACTATTTTAGGTCATGAATATAGTACAAATATACTAAAAAAGGATAGCTCTGTGGATTTCAAGTGGTGTTTGCACTTAATTGTGGAATTGATAATGTGAAATAGAAATGGCTGGAAATAATTCCTTTTTAAAAAGTTATATTTTTTATTAAAGGTTCCTGTTTAATAGCCAGTGTGTCCAAAAAACCACTATTGATAAGCTTTCTTCTGCTGCTACTTTAACATACCAATAATAGCTATATAAGGAAACAGGGTGCATATCTTAAAATCTGTGTAGCATTCGTGAAGATATGACAACATAACTTGCCAAATCTCATGTAAACAAGTAAAATATTCTCCCCTTTCTTCTCCCCCTTCCCCCATGATTTCGAAGCATTACAGAAAATGAACTGCTAATCTTTATCTAAAAAGAACCAAAATGTGAAACGATGCAATAGGAACAATAAAATTTGTTCAAATTGCAGCAGCTTTTTAACTCACTAATTGGGCCAGATTCTGCCTGCTTCTTTATACAGGTCTGCAGTGATGGGGAGGGTAAAAGGAGCTCCTCCTACTTCCATTGTCCATGCTCAACCTGCATAAGGGCCAGGCACATTTGTAGAGAATGGAGCACAGGGACCACACCCTTAGGTTGGGAAGGGGCACAGAGGAGGTGGTGGGGCCTGTCAAGCTGTCTGGAGTGGCTCATGAGCATGAGTACCAACCTCAGGGCATACTGAAGAAGCATGGCAGAAACCCCAAATTGGTTGAGAATTCTCACTTAGATTTCACCAACCAAGCATCAAGCATGAACTTCTCAGGCTCTATAACAGCCTAACCATGGAGTCACTCTCGTTTATCTTACCACCCAGGCAAGGTTGCCTTTGTGTTAGTCCCTTACAACAAAAATCACAACAATATTCAGATTACTCCCCATCCCAAAGGAGCTGTCACTTACCCCAGGTCAGCTGCACCTTCGCTCCTACACCAAAGACAACACTTGTAGTCAATCCTATAATAAACTAACTACAGATTTATTAACTAAGAAAAGAAATGAGGTTAAAGCAGGTACACGCGCACGCGCGCGCACACACACACACACATACAGTCTAGGTCCCAGAAAGTAATAGAAGCTGCTGTAATATGCAAGCTTTATAATTTCTCTAGGGCTAACCCAGGCCAAGCACTGGGGAACGCTTGCTTATGCTTAAAGATCTTTGCCCATCAGAGTTCAATCAGCATAGAGATCATCAGTTCCTTTTTGTCAGGGATTTTTATTCTTTTCCCTCAGCATTCAAGCTGATGGGACACGTCCACCTGCAGGTCTCCTCTTCATGAGTGTGGAGGGGAGCAATCAACAGAGTCTTTGTCCTTTGACGTTTCACAATGGCTCAGTTGGTTTCAATGGGCCTGTGACATTCTATACCTTGGGGGAGTGTACTGTAACCCCCATATTCGTCATTTTCAGATAATCGTGATCTTGCATATAAAGCATGCCTTGTAAGGTATCGGGGGAAAGGTTATGATCTTCTGAAAGTCATTTTTCTATCCATATATGTATATCATTAATGCATATGAAGTTATGAGAATCGTGTTGTATGGTTGTCACTAAAACATGCCTTAAGTTGGGGAATCAGCCAGATATTAGCTCCCCAGAGGCAACAGCAAGGAAAGTAACCAACACCCAGATGGGTTTCAAACAACCAATCAACAACCATTGTCCAGCAAGGGAGGTACAATTCAGTGACTCACCTGCATAAGGCCACACCAGGGGAATTGCTCAACCTTGCCTGGAGACTCAGCAATGCCCCCAGACATGCCTGGACTTGTGCTCCCCAAGCACATGGAACTGAGGTTATAAAACAGAACACAGTGGCCACATGCTGGGCTTTTCTCCTTCACCCACCTGCACTGCAAGCAACAAGGGCACTCTGAAGACTCCAACTGAGGGGACTGGCTCAGATTTCAAGGGTGAAATCTGTATACTACGAACTGCAATATCCAGTGGGGTGAGGAAAACTGTTTAATCTAGATGTTGCCCAATCTAATAGGGTTGAAAGTTTGGACTGCATGCTTATATTTTCTTTTCCTTTGGTAACTAACTCTGACTTTTTGCCTATCACTTAAAATCTACCTTTTATAATCAATACATTTGTTTAACTGTTTATCTTTACCAGTGAGTTTGTTTGATGTGTGTAACAAATCTGCTCAGGTTTTGCAAGGGCTGGTGTATATTCACTTTCCATTGACGAAGTGGTGAACCAATTAATAAATTAGAACTGCTCATCTTGAGCATTGCAAGACAGTATATTCCTGAGGTACAGTGCTGGGAGCTGGGGGGTTTTGGCCCTGGTGCCTTTCTCTGTGTGATTCATGAATGTCTCTGGGAACATTCATGCAATCTATCCAGGTGTGGGGCTCCACATGCTGTTGTGCTGGGTGATCACAGAGCCTGGAGGGGTGTGCTGCTGGTCACTATGCTTGTGAAAGACAGCCCAGGCTGGAGAGAGTTAAGGAGGCACAGCGGTCCCACAGTCCCAGGCTGCACCCCGGGGATTCCGTCTCAGGTCCTTCTTGTGTGCAGGACCTAGCATCTTCTGTAGGAAGCCAACATTTTACATTATTTAATGCTTCTTTCCTGCTTCATGAGTTACACAGCTACAGAGGCTTACAGTGCAAACACTCAATATAGCCTTATAACATGAAGTGAAGATGTTACATGAGATTAATACATGCAGCATCCTACAAGCATTTCATAAAGTCTAAACACTTTTTTGAATACCTATTTAAATAATACTAAAACACGGGAGCCAGACCGGTTTCTAGCTATACATTCATCAGTGTTCAGTTGGGGCCTAGGAGCCTTGGCATGAGCTGGCACCTGATCTGCCAGCATTATCGGGCCATAAACCTGTCTTCCCTTCCATAAGCCTGCACTGGAGAGAAGGCTGCACCCTATAACACTGATCTTCCTACACTACAAGGAGTGCTTTTTTGGTGCCTGCCCTGATATTGTATAGCTCTGCACTGCTGTTACTATGACTATGTCTACCAGGCACAATTTAGCCCTATGTCAGATTTGATGAGAAGTGGTAAGGATTAATCACTAGACAAGTTGCCAATTTATTGGCCATTAAAGTGCTAGTAAACGCTTGTTTCTTCTGTATATACATTCTGTACATTTATAATTCCCAGTTTGTCTAGCATTTCATATAAAGCTTCTGATAAATCTTTTTATGATTATGAAAATTCATATATGATAGAATCCTAACCTGATGCCAACAGGGATACAGGATCCTAAATTTTCTCCTTTTTAACACAGTGTTCATTATCTATTAAGGTGTTAGGCTGAAATACAAATGTGATCAGTAGAGTACCCATGTGCTCAATTCTGTCTGTAGCTTTTTTTTTTAATCTTATGTCTGTCGGTTTTGCGCTGTAATATGTGGTGGTAAAAATCTTCCAATTCCTCAACATCAAACTCATTCAGTTGTGAATATCTCCAAATTGACAAGAAAAAAGCCATCAGAATGGAATGAATGCCATCTTTAGAAACTTTAAAGACTTCTGTCAAATATTGTGTAAGCAGTTTGAGAGGTCCCCTCTAATAGTAGACCCATTCTTTCCAAGTCTTAAGAAATTTACTAACCTTAAATTACAATACTTATGTACATTCTCTAATTCTACTATCTATCTTGGCTCTGTATTATCTGTAATTAGCATTTCAGTTTGAGGCTGGAGGGTAGCAATTTTCTTTTTCTTCTCCAAGCTTTCCCAATTGATCTGTCACTTTTCCCAGCTCTCAAACTTGAGTTTCTGTTCCACGAACAGATATGTAACTAGCATCTAGTTTTTGCTCCCTTCTATTATGAACCAAACATAGACACTCTAATGAACGATCTCCAAATTTAACTTTAGAAACAGGAGAGTCTCCAGATGTCCGTGTATTTGCCCTCACTTTTATTGGTACATGCTTCAGCTTTCTGCCTCTTGTACCTTGTAATTGCTTATGAATCAGGATTGCTTGCGAGTTTACTCTTTCTGCTAGTTTGTGCAGAGCTCCCTGTATTTAGAGAAACTTTGCTTGAGGGTCAGTTTATTAATAGGTTAAAGTGTGCCAAGCCTACCCTTGGGCACACTTCAGGCATTATTCTCTTTACCTTTTGGCATCCTCAAAATTCATCCTAAATAAAATGTGCATTTATGTCACAGCCTTCATTTAGCCCAGAATCTGTCCCAGCTAGGGACTGATTGGGAATTTTTCTGCTATATGTTTTTTTGGTCAGAAAATGCTGATTCATGTAAACTGAAGCTTTTAGTGGAAACATCTGTTTCAACAAAACTGACGTCAGGAAGGTTTCTCAGGTCTAGGATTAGGTGTAGGGAGGAGGAGAAAGAGACTGATCCATCTCAGAATAGCTAATAGCAGTGGTTAGGTCACTCACTTGGGTTGTGTGAGTGCCCAGGTTCAAGTTACTGCTCTGCTTGATTTGGAGTAAGGACATGGTCTCCCACATCCCATGTGAGTACCCTAATCACTAGGCTATACAGTCTCTCTCTCTCTTTCTGGC